GAAAAAGGTAGAACATGCCTTTAAATAACACTTTTATTAAAATATATTATGTATGGTCCTACCTTTTGCATGTATCTGCTGAAAGAATAAAGCTGGCCATACACGTATAGATTTTCTGTAGATTTTTTTCTATCACCCTATGGTCAGATGGAAAAAGTGCAACAGATTCCTTCATCTACGCTATACTGTGTGGATGGAGGAATCTCCACTGGGCCAAGCTTCAGTATCTTGCTAGTCAGCCCCGCTGGCTCTCAAAATACCTGAACAAGGTCTGCTTTCAATCAGATTGTTCAGGCATTTTGAGAGCTAGCGGGGCCGACTAGCAAGATACTGAACCTTGGCCCAGCGGGAGATTCCTCCTTCCACACAGTTTAGCATAGATGGGGGAATCTGTTGCACTTTTTCCATCTGACCATAGGCTGATAGAAAAAAATCTATAGAAAATCTACAGGTGTATGGCCAGCTTAAGGCTACATTCACACTCCTGCTCCAAGTTTTAAAACATTTCTGCTTTGCATGACATGTGGTATCAATCAGACAGCACCTTACATAGGGGAGGAATGGAAAGACATAATAAGCATGTAAAATGCACCACATTGAACATGCATAAAAACACAGAGGGATAAATGTATCCTACGTAAAAGAAAGAATAAGAAAAAATCATTTTAAAAGTGCTCCTTATACTCGGCAGATTCCTGTAATCTGAGGATGTTACAGCTATGGCCTGGCTTAGTATATCCACCAAACAGAGGCAGGTAAGTAAGTCTGCTGTGAAGTTTACAAACTTTCCTGCAATAATAAATGTCATATAAATGACATGGATAGGATTGTTGTTTTCTATATAAATGTGGAGCCTTACATTAGCCATTAGCTGGGAAATATACACTGAGTGGCCAGATTATTATGACCACCTGACATTTGTAGGCAAATTAGCTATAATTAGCTATAATTTGGCCCTGAAGTTGCCAGAGGGCCAGACCATTATAAATAGGGAAGCAGGTTTTTTAACACGACAGTAGAAGTGATTTTTTTCTGAAGATATGGGTAAACAACGCGATTTAACAGCCTTTGAACGTGGGATGATTGTTGGCGCTCTGAGCCATGGAGCGAGTATCAGCAAAACAGCAGAATTTGTTAAATGTTCAAGAGCAGCTGTTGTTAAAGTGTTTAAAGACTGGACTGTCAGCCAAAAATCTGGGTCTGAACGTGTGAATTGTGGCCGTCAGCGACTAGTCAATGTTAGGGCAGAACGGAGAGTGGCAAGACTGGTACAAGACAACAGAAGGGCAACAGTGCAGTGTCAGATTCCTCGCATCACCTTTCAACATCTTGTGGAGTCACGAGGCGGCCCAACGAAGTCATCTCGTGGCCCAACGAAGTACTGATGGGGTGGTCATAATAATCTGGCCACTCAGTGCAAACTGTCAATGAAAAGTTGAGAGGATTGTAAGAATTCTCATGGGACAGCAGGAGTAAGGAAATATGTGAAAAACCTTGCAGAATGTTTCATTGCATGGATATAATAAAGTATATGTAAGCACAAAATCTATTTCAGTCTGTTTGGCATCATGTGTCACTGTATACAGTTTTCTAAAGCAAATCATTTGTGAATCTATCACAAAGTTTCCTACCTGGAAAACCTGACAGTAAAGGCACTTCGTTTTGCATGTGACAACACTTACCCACTGTATTGCAATATAGCTGCTGCATTGTCAGCATGCCATGTGCACTCCTTCCTATATACCGCACAGTTTATACAGCAAGGCTTCATCTGTTTGTGCTGTGTACATTAAAGTGATATTAAACCCTCAGATTTTTTAACATAAAACAATACTGTAATGTGTACTTTACTGTAATCCATGGTTGTTTCCCTTCTCTTTGCTGCTCTTCCTTTTAAATCCTCATGTCTTCTCATGCTTGGGGAGAACTTCCCTTTGCAGCTGACTACCTCTTCCTGTAGTGCTGGCTCAGGTTGCAAACGTACACACAGACACCATGTATCCATTTCAGAGACAAGGCAGTCTGCTGCAAAACAGAAGTTCTGCCCAGCATGAGAAGAGATACAGATTTAAAAGGAGGAGCAGTATAGAGAAGGAAAACGACCATGGATTACAGTAAGGCACACATTACAGTATTGTTTTATGTTAAAAAATCTGAGGGTTTAATGTCACTTTAAGTTCTTAGTGACTCATTTTTTTAAGTAATAGCAAGTCTGTACTCTTATACGCTTATATTAATATTATTAACTTTCAATGCTCGTTTTCTTTACAGCAATTAATCTGAGTCAGTAAAACGAGAATTAAGCAATACATGAAAGGTGGTGTTATTGTGAAGAGAAATTCCCACACCAAATGACTCTGCATCAACATGTGATTGTCAGAGGGTGTGGAGAGGAAAAGGAGAAGCACCAAAAATTTATTAGGTGGCAGTACAAGAAAGAGCGATCACACACAGAGCAAGATCTGCAAGGTTGGTATACTCTCATCATTTTGAAATACAGATGAATAAGATGTAATTTATTATCTTCATATTGTAAACTGTAATAATAGAGTACATAGAGGGGATTTATCACAGCAATTGCGAGTGTTTGAACTCGCATATGGTTGTATGGGGTATATTTGCGCCAGATTTATGATGCTAGTGTAATTGATGTCCATAAATGAGATGAAATAGACTCCAGGAAAGAAGACTCGTAACTTCAGGCAAAAAGCTTAACTGTCGCTTCTTGAAGAAGTGGTCATGGGGACTTCTTAAGTAGCGATTGTTTTGTTAGGTGCTACTCCAGTTTCAGACAGCCGCAGGACAAGCGCAGATGTAAACAGTTGTGGACTTTTGCAAAAGAAGTGCAATCTGAAAAATAGTGCAAGCTCTGGTCAAAACGGGCGCACATGTTAAAGGAAGCAGCTAAACAGATTTGCACATACAAAAATGATCTCAGAGGCTAAAACTGTCACAATTGCTTTCATAAATTCCCCCATAGTGTTTATTTTGTGTAATACAGGTTTACCCCTTACCATGGTAGCATGTGTAATTTACTCTATCTATCTATCTATCCATTCATCTATCATCCATCATAAAAAACCCTGGTTGAGAAAATATCTCTCCCTCTCTCTCTCTCTCTCTCTCTCTCTCTCTCTGGCG